AAGAGAGAGAAAAGCAAAGACAGGTGGAAAAAGAGCTAAGAATTATACCAATTACAACATTTTTTTCAGTTCAGTTCAAGGCTCTGGGTGCTTAAATGCAGCTTGAAGATAATAATTTAAAAAAAAAAAAAAAGTTTGACATGTATTAATTTCAAGTAAAATAAGCTTCCTCTCGATGTCCATATGTGTAAGTTCCATTGGTATTACTCATCTGCATAAACCAAGGAAGAACAGACCTCTTGGAGTTAATTGTATTTTCAAAGCCAGAACTGCAGTCTTCCATTACAATGTTTATGGCTTATGTCTTTTTGCAGAGAGCAGTCACCACGAACACMTTCACACAGCATGGGTGATCCCTGACCTGACATTCTGGGATCCAYGCTCTGCAGAAGGCAGAGGGGGAAATGTCTGTCCCTCTGAGTATCCCTCCCTGCAGAGCTGGGAGTTATTTTCAAACAGCTCTCACTCTGAACTGGTCACTTGCTTAAGCATTTGGCAGGGCTTTGGGTGTCCCATGTACACAAGAAGGAAACTGCAGTGGGATGGGAGGACAAAGAGTGGAGCCTGGCACAGGTGAAGTGCTGGGGCCGGGACCAGGAAATTGCTACCACTGAGGAATGTTCAAAGGAGTTCACCTGGGTGAAAATGGTCTTTGAGGTACAACTGGTTCACACCCCAACTTGTGGCTATAATCAGTTGCGCCAGAGAAACAGCCAAAACCAGCTGCTCCGTGATGTCTCATTAGATCTGCCATTTTACACACAGCAGCCAAAGACAAAACAGGCAGTTGCTTGGCAGAAGCCTGAGGCTGCTTGGCACCACAGCACAAGCATGCTCTGAGCTCCGGCTGCGGCCAACCCCAGGCACGGAGAGAAGGAGAAAGAGAGGAGGAGGAGGAGGAGGCGGCGCCAACGGGCAGTGCCAAGCTTCATTATTGCAACAAGATTTACAGGTTGTGGGTTAGCTTTCGAAGCAGGTAACAATGCCTGAAATGATAGAGAAGGATACACACCGTATCTGAGTCTCTCAGGAACGCTGTGAGGTCTGCAGAGCTATAAGCCATGGCAATTGTGTCATATCCACGCTGCTCCAAAGTCTGGCAGTAGGCTCCCATCCCTGGGTGTTTCTGTGAAAACAGAGGCCTAGCAAGCCAGCCTTTCAGTGCTTTACAGCATAGAGAAGGAATTTGAGTGCTATAATTGAAAGGTTAGCTACAATCACCCCAAGCTCCAGTTCAGATTCAGACACCCACCATGACTGCGTTTCATAGCAGCTATACATTTCCATTTACTGTTACTCTATCAAAATGCATTTATGCAAAATAATCATTGTAAAGGCAACAGTTCAAAAGGGAGGCCCCATTATTTTATGGACAGTCTTTCTCTTGCAGTGTATGTTTCAAATACAAATTCATAGTAAACAGCATTGGTTACAGATCTTCCACTTTGAGATGAAGGCACCAAGTTGCTGATGCACCCAAACTTTAGCAGCCTCCTATTTATCTGTGTTGAAGGCAATACTAATCCCTGTGAAATAATATCTGAGAACTGTCATTACAGATCCCTGTGGTCCCAAACAGTGAAGTCATAAAAATGCAGATCCTGCTAAAAGAATTAATTTATTTCTTTTAATAAAGTGAAGTTTGAGGGGGTTTTGTTCTTTGCTGCCTTGGCATCTTACCTGTTTTTCTAAAGCTGTTAAAGGTCGTAAGACCACCCAGAACTTCTGGACATTCTGGACAGCATCCACCTGCACCAGAATGTAGAGTACAAACATTTGCATCTGGAAGCCTCAAATTTATCTTCTCCTCCAGAGGCTTTTGCTTGGTTATTGGGCTCCATTGTGGCAAACATCTCAGCATCTCTGAYGTGCAAGAGCAGAGTGCTCTGTGCAGTGGAGCTGCTGGAATCAGGATGGTGAGGCTGCATGCCAGACAATTTCACCAGGAAATGTATGCCTTTTTCAATCCCTTTACCTACACAGAGAAGACCTTAATTCTCAAATACACCTRTTGCTTTCCCAGTTAGCTCACTTTTTCCAATCAAGATTTTAGAAGGGTGAAATTCTAAACTTAATTAATGCAATGCTTAGCCATTCTTGGTCACCCTTGGGCACAAGAGATTTTGGATTACCATTGCTATCCAAGTCTCACCTGCAGACCAACAGGCTGAAGCATTTCTGCATGCTTCAGGAGCAGTCCTTTGATTAAACTGACCTGAGCAAAACCTGCAAGTAAACATTTAACTCTCATCTCTGCTTTAGGAAAAATCTCATGGAAAATCTGCCCCACAGCTGCCTGGGACAGACTGCAGAATGCCCACATTGTATCCTGAAACCTCTGAGAAGAAAATGCAGACCTCTGAGCACTGTGCCAAATAAATGGTGGCTGTGCTTGTGGAAGACATGTTTATACAAGAAATCATGAAAAGTGCACAATAATGTCTAAAAGAAATAAGCCCTCAAGGGTGCAGCTCTTCTTACAGGAGAAAAGCTAAAAAAGAATTACAGTTTGCAGTGTGTATCCTTAACTTTATGCTTTACCTTTGAACAAATTGAGATTTTGGAAGTTCCTCATTCTTGTATGAAAATATATTCAAAACTTAGTCTTCTTAAGGTATTTCTTTTTCTTTCCAGCCCTGCACAGGAAAAAAAAAAAAAAAAAAAAAAAGAAAAGAAGAAAGAAAGAAAAAAAATATATTCATGTCTAAACCATAATCCTCACAGTGAAGGCAAATTCGGAACTCTCCAAACAATGCCAGCTATGAAGAAACAAGGATAGTTTTTCCCCCATAATGTTTCAAGATCTTTTCCCCCCTCATAATATTAAACTAAATCTTGCAACTAATCTGACAGGATWTCTGAATCTGAAGCATCCTACTCCAAGAACCTCAACAGCACTGATGGAAATCTGCATAACCCTTACAGGTACAGAAAGTGACTCCATCCCTTCAGAGAGCGTGTRAGCTGTGCATCACGGCCCTGTGCTCCAGAATCATGTGCTCTGTATGGAGAGGGAGGGTGGAAAGGAAGTGAGCGCCCTTTCAGGGTAGCGTAACACAACCCTCTCCTCTGCCGTTCCCTTCTCCTGGCATCAGGGTGGATGTAATTCTTCTCATGCATTATTGATAGGCCCAAAAGCCTGCCAAGCTTGCCTGCTTTTTTTGTGACAGACAAAGGAGGGTACACGGATGGCACCTCTCACTGCTCGGGGCTCTGCTTTCATTAAGAACATTTTCTGCCTGTTCTCCAAGGGCACCCTCTGTCAGAGACTGCCACGCAATAAAAAAAATATGGCTTTGAAGTCCAGTGAATAGAAACAAAATGAATTAGCGTTCAGGTGTTCATGCAACCTGATTACAAAGGCCCAATTCAGTGGCGTCCTTCACACCTTTTCACTTGTCCCTGCATAATCTCTACACATCTTTTAGGCTCTCTGCCTTTCTAGTCCCCCTCCTCTCTGTTCCCCCCCATCCCTTTATTTCCTAATGCTTGCAGGTCCTCCAGGAAGACACAAGCACTTACAGTTGTTGAGTGATTAAATATTTATAATCAGGGCAATGAGTGAGGTGTTGAATAATAAATGCTAAGGTTGAGGCGGCCTTAGATAATTTCTGCAGATTTCTTCATCCACAGCCTCTTTGATTCTAAGGCAAAATCCTTTTAATTAACAATAACTTTTTTTTCCCTTCTTTTCTTTTCTTCCTCTTTCTCTCTTTTTTCTTTTTTTTAGCAGCTGTGACAGGCAATTTATAACAGTCCTTTATCACTGTTGGTTTTTTTTTTCATAAACCTTAACCCTGAGGAAGTGCTAGAGCTGTTATTTTAACCTTAGATGGACATGCATAAAATTTACCTTGGTTGTTGCTTGCTTACATGTGAGTTTGGCTTTTATATTGGGATGTGACTCTTGGGGATGTCCTGTCCAGGGTTGGGAGCTGAACTCAATCCTAGTGGGTCCCTTCCAATTTGGTGGACTCTGTGATATGTAAAGCATATACATAAATATATCTATTTATCTACATTCATTTAAATATCAACTAGTATTTACTTAAGAAATGGAAGTCTGTAATAAATGGTCAGTCAACTGTTGGGGACAATTACAACATCTTGGGATGGGGGAGATAAGTGACTTACATAAAGCTTCTATAAAGATCTKTCATTGTAGCTAATGCTGCACTTCACAGAACAGAAAGAACAGCTGGATTATCCAGAGGTTTGTCTTGATCTAAACTAGCAATGAATTCACTGTTTAATATATTTCTTTGCTCCTCTTAATTTCCCTAATCAAAAACATTGTTGTGTGGGCTTTTTTTTCCATTTTATTTCCTTAAAAGATACACTTTAAAAACAAAAAAAAACCTGCTGGTTGCTAGAGTCAAGTGATGATTTCACTTTGAGGGAAGGAAAGTTCTTCTTTAAGAAATATCACAGACACTTAAGGTATGGAAAAAAAGCCTGTAAAAGTGATGTCTCATGAGATCAGAAGTCCTGCAGCAAACAAGAACCTTTTTCCTTCTCTTCTCTCCTTCCAGTTACATTCATTCTCATGACTATACAGGAGAATAATTTGTTATTTCTGAATGCTAGATTTGGAGGAGAACTGCTGGTGTAGCACAGTCAAAGCAAAATAAACAGCAATGACTCCTGTGATCCAGGGTTCACAGAGGCTAATGTGAACTGACCAAAAGTAGGAAAAATGCATTCAGCAATAGGATTTGGAGAAATAGTAAAAAGATATCTGACAGTTAGGAGCTTTGAAGCATTTCAGTGTCAAAGATGACTTAACCTGGAGCATAAAACTAACAAAGAAGCATTAGGAACCCCACGGCCTGTCTCCAATCATGTCACTCTGATGGCTATATCACTTAACTCCTCTGAGAATGAATGTTACTAGTTCTACACGTGGAAGCACAGTATTGGAACTTGGTAMACTAATGATCTATGGTATTTTAAGGTCTTAAATTTAGAAAGGCACTGGAAAACATTCAAAAGGCAAGACAATGTACAGGCTTCTGTCTGATACTCCTTCCCTCTCACATTCTTCCCCTGCTCGAAGGTGCACTCTTCCTTCCATAGGTCACAGCTCCTTCAGGAAACTCCCACCTACTCTGCCATAGCCCTCCCTACAGGCTGCCATGTGGGTTTGTGCTCCACCATGGATCACCTCATCTTTGTTCCTTTCTTCCTCCTCCTCCTGACCTCAGTGCTCCCTCTGCTTATTCTCACTCTTTTTGTTCCCTGCTCTTACTCCCTCTGTGAAAAACTTGCTGCCTTTTCTTAAATGTGCTTTCCCAGAGCACCRGTTTGGCTGATGGGAGCTGCTGTATCCTGTGATGGGGCTGTTGGAACCAGCTTTTGGCACAGGGCAGCCCTGGCCTCTTCCAATGGAGGCCACCTTGCAGACCCCTGCTGCCAGTAAAGATACCCAAAATAAGATTAAAATCTTAACAAAAATTAATTTTGCTGAATGTGTAAGCTAACATGCTGTAGCTGGATGATGACAAGGAATATTTCTACTGATGCATTCTGTTGTTTGACTTTTCAGCTATAAATRCATATCAAGAGAAATTAAGCTGTCCACTTAAGCTCAGTCATTGAAATACAAAAGGGAGTCAGGTTTGATTTAAATGAGAACATCTTTGCATTAGTGATTCACTGTGTAATGCAAACAATCCAGCTCTGGTCATGTTATCTCACATTATCATATTATCTATCATTATATCAAGTAATTTGAAATAGTATGACATCAAAAAGAAAGCAGAAGTTTGGACTGATATTTCAAGGAGGAAAATGGTGACATCCTGGAAGACTAAAAGGGTCACCAGGAATTAAATATATTTGCTTTATTTACACATGCAGCTTCCAACACAAGAATAGTGAACAACAGAAGCAGTAAACTGAGCTTTCTGCAGGACTTTTCCTTGTTCTTGTTGCTGAACACTGTTCATGTTGTAATCCTAACCTCTTATTCACCTTCATGCTGCACAGCTACTTCTTCCTGTTGCACCTCACCAGGCTTCAAGAACTTGTTTTCAATAAATTCACATGTTTACATATGAGTATGGACCATTTGTATCCAGAAAGATGAGAGGAAAATACGGATCCTGTGTGAAGAAATTTCCAGGATTGTAAAGTCTCTTTGGATTGTAAACCCTTCAGAGCAGCATGCATCTTGGTGGTGTTCTCTGTGGCTTCTATCCTTGTCATAGGTGAGAAGAGATGCCACAAAACTAATTTGTTCAAACTAATTTGATTTCTCACACCATTTTGGTATTTACAGAGGAGGTAAATATCATCCCTAAGTCAATTTTTTTAAGTGAACTCAGGCCTTTAACCTTTGTTTTCTTGGAGTCTTCTATTCACTTCTCATAATATTTTCTKTTTCCAGAACTGGGTGCTTTACCCTAGATACCATGTCAACTTTTCGTTGTAAAATGCTGAAAACTCCCTAGTTCCAGGAGAGTTGCTTGTGATTCTCACTGATCAATAGCGATGAAAAGAGAGTATGAAGAAAAACTCCTATTTACACTTCTTCAGACCGTTACACCACCWGTCCTTATCTTGGTATGTATGGGGCATTAGAGGGTTAAGAATGATGGAAAGAATGAAGGAGGCCTCAAGCTGCACAAGATTTATTCCTCCCCCAAAACATAGTCTTTTGCCTCAAGTGACCTATTACTCTTAACAACTGAGCCCAGTTTTGAAACAGATAAAATGCTTACAAGTAATTTTTTCTCCTGAAGAGGACCATTTGGACTGTGTATGTTGGATAGCACCCTGTGCACAGAGTGAGTAATGGGGAAGATTTCATAGAGGTGTTTGGGCTTGCATGGAGCACAGAACTATCAGGCCTTGTAACTAGGCAAGATCTTAGTCCTCTGCCTCATTCAGCCACTGATTTAATAGAAAAGTAAACCACTTCTTCATTCTCCCCTGTACTCATAACTTTCTGGAGTAGAAGTTGCCACTTTACATGCATTTGTGTATCTCCTACCAGCAAGGATCAGATCTCAGTTAGGGCTTCTTGATGATGTTATAATAAAAAATATAATGATGATAATGGTAAAAGTCAAGAAAAAGTCATTCAGAACTCTGCTGTAAACATCTCGAAGTCAAGAGCAATCCCCAGGTTCAAAAACAAATCTCAGTTTATGGAGAGAAATTTATTCCATTTGAATAACAAAGTTATGTCAGTGTCTCAACACAAAATCTGCRTAAGACTCCTAATAGTGTTCATTCATGTGGCACTTCTTGCTCCTCAGTTTCCCTTTGTCAGGCTCATCCTTAYAGAATTTATTCAGGCACCCTGAGATGGTGCATTACAGAGTAAGCAGAAGTGTGCATGCCACAACTAGAGCAATGGTTGACAAAAGGTTGCCTAGAATTGCCTCCTAATTTCGTTTCCTCTCCCCACCAAGGGGTGATTGCTAAACCACCAGCAGCTAAATAGATCCATCAGCAGATGCCAAGGCTGCTGCTATGTTTCCGTCTTGTCTTTCCCAGTAGGGGCCACTACAGAGCATCAAATAGGAAGGAAGACTGGGAAGAGAAAATGAGTACAGAAGGAACCAGGTAAATATGAAAAATGCTTCACTGGAAGATTAATCCTTCCTGTAGTCCATCGTTAAAGTAATAAAAGGTTTATGATTCATTTCTTACATTATAATGGAGGAGGCAATTAGTAATTACTGGATTTATAGTATTTGTTGTGTTAACTCAGCCAATAAAATACAGAGCAAAACTGTTTTTCTGAAGCACATTCATTGCAAAGTAATGTTCTTGAAGCATTAAAAATGCAATCTAGTGTACTGCACTTCATGTATTATTACAGTAAGAAGGATGGTTGTCCAACGTATGCTGCGGTATTAGGAATTCAAATATTTTCTTTTTTTTCCTATCCATTTTTTTTCCCAAAGGAAGTTTAAACAATCTAAATAATCTCTAGTAATAAGATTTAGTACGAAACCCCACAYGTGCTTAATGTCTATTGTTAAAAAAACTAAGCACCCTTTTCAAACTTCCACATCTTTCCTCTTAATGTACAATCAAGTTTGTGTCTTTTCTTCACACGGGAAAATGGTCAGACTCACACAATCTTCACTGGCTACTGGAATTTCCTTTGTATCTGCCCTAATGATGTTTTTTGCTTCCACTAAAGTAATATTTACTTCAGCAGTATTTTTGGCCTGCTGTGATTGGAATTCCATTATTACACATTGGTCAATTTCACGTATAGGTTTCCATTCTGGAGCTGCTACAAAGTAAATTTTTAATAAAGTTTTTAATAGATAGCAACAAATTAACCTGAATTTAAAAAAAAATGAAAGTATTATTTCTGCTACATTCTTGTATCTTACCTACATGTGCCTTGGAGCTCAAGATCTTGGGAAGTGATTGCTTTATAATGTATCCACATTCAGTTATTGGGCTTCTGTCCATGAGCTAAATTAAACATGAAGAATAATAGAAAACATATGAATTTCCATCCAAAAAGCACAATCATCTTCCACTTTAGCCAAAGGAMAGTATACAATAAACACCACTTGTTTAAGGGACCCTTCAGCCAGGGAAGGAAAAGCAAATGCAGAGGGGTGAAGTTTGAGGAAACCCCTCCAACTTCGGCAAGGCATTTTTCTAAATCATGACTGTATAATCAACTCCCATAAAATTCAGAGTTGCAAATTCCCCTGCTAATACATTTTCCTGCACATTCCCTAAATGTTTTCATTTGCAAAAACAAGATTGACTTTCCCTCCACTGAAAAAAAAAAACCCTAGCCACATAACCCTCGATCATTAAGGCAGGAACAGCCCTGTAATGCAATTTCCTTTTAAAAGTTCTTGAAACTGAATTCAGAGTTAAACCGTCATGTGTAGCACTCCTCAGGGGTTCCTGGAAAACCATTTCCCCATCTGAGTATGTAACTCTGTGAAACCAAAAAGGGAAGCAGTCAATCTTGTCAGCTGTTTCTAGTAAAAAATGTTTTTGACAGAGCTGAATTAAAATTCTTAGAAATAAATTTCTGCTGTGGAATTAAGTTCACTAGAGTAAAAGCTGTTGAAAAATTCAAAATTGTCAAAATTATTGAAACAAATTTTTTATTCATCTGAACATTTTTAACTCTATTATTTGCAGATTTTTCATCAGAAATACTGATTTTCAGAGTCCATGTGAAAAAAAGCAAACTGTAATCTGAACCTTTTGGGGAAGACAAAAAAAGCTTACATTCTCCTACACTAACTAGTGATAGATCTGCTGCAAATGCATTATTTGTTACATTGGAGAAAATCTTATATAAGCAACATGTAAAAAACCCCAAAAGATAATAAGTTATCTAGCATACTCTTTATCACTGCTTCCTTAATATGGTTTCAAAGGCAAAGAAGAGTTTGTTTGCCTTAAAGCTTGTTGTTTTTTAACCAACCATATCAGTTGATCTAATAAAAGATAATGACTCTACAAACCTTCTCTTTAAAAACATTTCACACAGTCTAGCTAGAGACAGAGAGGGGAAAATTAAGTTCACAAGCCTTGCTTGTGAAGTCCCATCGAAGGGACGATGAATTTGTCTGGATGCAATATGTAATAAACAACCCTGTGAAAAAAAAAGGCAGAAGCTTGCACAGCATCTGCTTTGCAAACTTAAATAACTTGGCCATTTAAGTTGTTTTGTTTGGTCTGTTACATATGGCAAAATGATCCAATTGATGCACTCAGTACCATCAGTATTTCATTTTTAAAAACTAATCTGTTCTCTTCGCTTCCCCTCCCCATGTTGATGGAGGATCAGTTTAATATCTGGATTGCTGGCAGTGCACTTGAGTGCTGGTGAGTCAGATAGATGGGAATGCTCCCTCTGAGTCAGTGTGGAGCCAGCCTCCCAGCATGGTGCTTGGGGACACTCTGGTGCTTGAGCTGCAATCATTTAGATCAGAGAAAACCAAAGCCCTCAACAGTTGCGGTCACTTGAAATCAGATGGAAAAAACAGAGATATTATGCCAGGATCCTCAGCAAACTCAAAAGAAGACAATAATTGCACAAGGCCRGATCTGCTCACACTCTGCCAAGAACCTTGATGAGATAAAGAGTCTTTGTTTTCTGCCACTAAATAGTCAAGTCCATTATTTTTATTATTGAAAGAAACTGTAARAGTTGCTACATTACACACAAGAAGTGGTTGCATTTCAGTGCTACACAAAGTGATTCTGTTATGTATAAGCTCTAAGTTTGCACGTGACAAGGAATAAATCAGTCCTAGCTGTGATTTCGATAGACTTAARTGGAGTTTAGGGCAGTCCTAGACTTCTAAAAAGATCTATAATTCATCTGGGAGAAAACAAAAGGAATTTAATCACAAATTAATTCTTTTAGAAAAAAATACTGCTCTACCAGTTCTTCCCCTGGCCTGTAAGCTCTTTGCAAGCAGGGCCCAGATTCTTATTCTGTGTTCACCCAGTGCATAGCACAGTCAGCTCCTCCGGGWTTTTGAGTGATGTATCTCAACAAAGCTATCACAGCAGCTATAACCCCAACGACGTCCATGATAATAAATTCCACACTTTCCAGGGAAAAACACATATAATTATTACACTCCATTTCTGTTTATTATTCAAGTATTTTTAGTTTCCCTTAGCAAAAGTTCATGTCACTGAACATTGCAGCCAATTAAATACAGAAAAATGAACATCTGCAAAATTTCAAGCTACCAAGAAAGCTCTGATACTTCAAAGAAAGAAAGGGGACAGACTGACAGGGAAGTTTTTATCTTTTTTTCATTCAGAAACACTCCAACTCCTGTAATAACGACCCCCCTCATTCACATAATTGCATAGTTAGTTGGCAACTTACTARGGAATCATCATGTGCACAGAAAACCATCTCAGAAACAAAATCAATTCAGCAAAAGAGAAAATAACACTAACATTTCAAAGTGATCCAAGGTGCACAGGTCAGGGAAAATAGATTATGGTATTCAAAGTAAAAGAAATAAACATTTACTTTTGCACTGTTTCAAAATGGAAAAGCAAGTTTCCTGATATATGAAGTTCAAATGAAACTCCCATAAAGTCAGTGTTGAGATCCTAACCTGAGAACTCRCGTGGCAGGATAGAACTCTATGGAAAATTAAAAGGAATGAGTTCTCCACCCACCAACTTCAGCAGTGCTGCTAGGCACCATAATTAATTGAGCCTTGATATTTCATCAGCCATTGATTACAGAGTGGAGCTGAGTGGAACATATCACACAGAAAGTGAGACAATGTTGCAACAAAGGAAAAAAATATCACTTTTCACACAGCATTGTTTTGTGAATTTTGACATTTTATTTCAGTTATCTGAATGAAGAATGGAGTGAGAGAAGGTGAGCATACCAGAGTGAGAGGGAGAGACAAAGCTCAGGCAGCACAGCTTTCTCTAAGTTGTTCTCATGTTTAATAACTGAAGGTATGGGAGCAGATTCTCCCTTTGGCCAAATTTTTGTTGCAAGCAAAGGAGAGACCTTTTGAAGAAACAACCAGCACTCCCAGATGTTTTGACCAGACTCAAGAATCTGACTCCCAGCCCAGAGCAGCAGGAAGACTGCTCCACATCTCTGGAGTTGGTCAAGGTCCTCCAGTGAAATGTTGAACGGCTGAGCACAGGTGTAACAGACACTGAAATACAGCTCTTRACATCTGGTGACTTCTTTTGGAGACAAAGCCTTGTCCGAGGGCAGCTGCACCTGGACGTGGTGCCAAGCTGTCTCTGTTATGGGCACTTGTGTGGCAGCTCACAAGTCAGTGGAGAGCTGGTTTATAGAGGGAGTYGAAATATAAGAGTGTTTATTTTTATGACTGCCAACATTCACCTCAGCCTTGCTCAAGTCACTCAATATCTCATGGCTTTCCAGGAGCAAACCCTCTTCTGGTTGAAGAGTTTTGACTTTGGTTTTAGTGTAAGATTTAAGGAATTTTTGGTGTATGAAGGAGGTTTTTGTCCACACACTCAATTTAGGAAATCTCTCTGTTCTTAAATAGCATAATCCTGGGCGTTTGTGTGTGTGTGTGTGTGTGTGTGTGTGTGTGTGTGTGTGTGCGCGCGTGTGTGTGTTGAAATTTCAGAGGATCACAGAATATTCAGAGTTGGAAGGGACCCACACAGATCATCAGGCCCAACTCTTAGGTGAATGGCTCATACTGGGGTCAAGACCATAACCYCRGCATTATTGGCACCAAGCTCTAACMAACTTTGTTTAAATCTGTTTAAGTATCAGGGGGGAAACAAACACCAATGTTTTAGCTATTTTTGATTGTGTAAATTCTCTATGTACAAATGCACTGAAATGCATTACCCTCATATAGCAAACTTTTTTTTCAACATGACGTAAAGAGCTATTTTTGCTCTTTTTGCTAAGACTGGGAGTGCTTTGGATGAAAGAAGGTGGTGGAGAGGAAATACTGGCATGTGTGAAATGTAGGAGAGGAAATGTAAGAAGAGAGAAATGAGAACATGAAACATAATGGGGCTACAGAAAGAGCAGCTGATAAAAAAAAAAGATAAGCATTGAAGAGGAAATTAAAAGACAACAATTTATCCACTTGGAATTGATCAAGAAACAAGAGCATGTATGCCTGTAGTAACATCTCCATCTCCCATTGGCAGTTCCTCCAAGATCCAGGGTGTTCCCTGAGTCCTGGCTGACATCCAGCTTGGGTAATTATATTCTACTTACATAAAATTCCCCTTGCAGTTTCAATTGGACACCACTTTGCATCCCAAACTGTTCTGCAGTGTGGTTATGCCTGCTTCACAGCAGAGATGGCTGCGTTTCAGCAGGGAGCAAAGTTATCTTTTTATATACTTCATATACTATGTTATAAAGCACCTGGGACCCTTCTGCATCACACGTGCTGTACACATTATGCTATCAGTAKTATTCAAGTTATTAGGAGAAATAGTATACAGTCATCATTTATCTACTGAGACAATAAATTCTCTGTTAAGTAGGGTCTAAGCTGAATCACAGTGCCATAGTAGTGCTCAGATGGAATTGAATGGCACAGTTATAAAAGTAATTGAACAAGCCAGGATGGCTACAGCTGGGAAAAGTAAATCAAAGGCCTAGATCCTCAGCTTAAGTAAAATAGATTCACAGAAGCTCAGCTATTWACACCAGTGGGGAATTTGCCTCAAAAAAAAAAAGCCAGGCTGGCAAAGAGAGACTGACCATCCCTCCCAAAGTTTTAATGTTTTCCCAACCAGCAGGAACAAGCAGGCAAGTGCTGATGAGCTGTTTTTAAGCAGTAGCTACACACTTAGGGTAGGTTCTGAGGCCAAAAAATAAGCGAAAGGGGGAAAATGCACATGCACACACACACACACAGGGGAAAAGCCAGTAAAAGAGAAAACAGAGACTCATAACATAACTAGGGTTGCAAAAGTGACCCACAACAGTCAG